ATATGCTGGAAATGAACCGTAGCTAAATGTTCAGGTTCCTCCTCAAGTATGCGAGTCGCGATGAAGTTGAATTGTTAGGTCGCGGCTCCGGCGGCGTTGTCGAAGTGCGCAACAATGTCGCTGGATACGACGAGACGAGTCCTCTCTACGGTTTCTTGAGATATCGAAGAAGGAACGTGGTAATTAAGTATCTGCCTGAAGATTGCTCTCGTCTTATCCAAGGTCCGTACTCATTTTCTTCCCCCCAGCCTAGATCCGTTCGCGGCTTGATACGCTGACACGTTTTCGATATATAGCGAGAGTAGCTGTTCACTTCAACGCCGTCTGCGACCGATTCTCACCCTACGATACCATTTTCGAAATCACCGAAGCCAAGGAACTTAAGGATACGAAACTATCGGCCGCATGCTCCCTGCATGCCGCTTCAGGGTCAAATTCATCATCTTCAAGCTCGTTACGCCGAAGACGATTAATGGAGATTGCAGAGGAGGAGGAAGAGGAGCAGCAACAACGCACCACAAAACGCCAATCAGTTGCCGAGGACGACGAAGACGGAGACATTCGACCTAAGACAGCCAAGACAAGTCATGACACTGTCTTGCCTACGGAGACTGTCACACTAAACTCAGAACTTGCCGCATCTCCAGAGCATAGCAAATTCACTGACGCTTCAACATCTGAGGTACCCAACTTCGTTGGCGCTGATGACAGGCCCATTTCTCCTTCTCAATCAGAAGCACAGCCGCGAATGTCATCGCAATCAGGCCGACCCGATTTGTATTCCTATTCATCATACAACTACGGAAAGCCTAAAGTGAAGCTTGGACCGCGCCCCTCGCTTGATACAAACGGAAGACCACGCACTGCCGGCGCATATCGCCCAGTTTCTCAGATGCCTTCCGGCTTTAAGTTGTTTGGTAAGGGCTCTAAAAAAGAGAAGAATAGGGACGGACCCGCCACGGCTGAGGATACTTCTGTCGAGGACAAAGACACAGCGACTGAACAGGACGGACTACAGATTGTGCATACAGAACTCACGCGCCCCGCAACAAGCTCTGGAGTATCTATCCCTGGCTCTCCTGTTTTGCCTATGCCCCCACCCGCCAGACCGACCATTTCACCGGAAAAGGCGAGGTTAATGAAGGCTATGAAGCTCCGAGAGAAGAAGAAGGCAAATATGGCAGCTGAGGCGGCAGATGCTCCGTCACCTCCTCTTGAACCCCCCGGATCTAGCGATGGCGATTCGTCTACAGACCGAGTAGATGATCATGAAACTCAACTCGAAACGGAATCCGACCACCCATCCATCTCAAATGCCGACTCAGGCATTGGATTGGATGCGTCTTCAGCGTCCATGAATAATGATCAAGCTTCCGATCTTGCTCAGACCGATTCTCATCCTGATAGCCCAGTCATTGCATCTTCCGAACCGGAGATATCTACCAAGGCATCTTCACTTTCCGAATCAACTGACGAAACCCTGCACCCAAAGAACGAAGATGAACATGACCTGGACAAAAACGAGGAAGTTGATAATGTCGAAGCCTCTAGTACACGAAGAAGTGAAGAAATTGCTACCGCTGAAGAGTTGACGCCGGTGATTGACTCCCTTCCAAGTAAAGATGAGGAGAAGATTGAGGATACAACGCCAGAGCCTTTACCAGAGACTGATACCAATATTTCAGCTCTTGAAACAGCAGTCTCTACTGCTAACAGCCAGCCCACAACGGACCATGCTCCTGACGCATTGGAGACAACTGAGGTTTCGGCCAACATCAGCAAAGTGGACGAGCCGCTATCCCCTACCATTGACACATCCAAGATCCTCAAGTCGAAGTTCTCGACTCAGGACCTGAAGACGGAACCAAGTCCAGCATCTAATTCCCCTAACCGAAGTGCCCGCGAGAATAGCCCTATCATCATAACAGAAAAGGATGGAGAGGAAAATAACGAAGAGCTGCCTGAAACAAAGCAGCAAAAGCGCAAGACCAATATCGAGCCTATCAAAACGGACTTTGCCGAAGACAAGGAACGTCTGTCTGACGATGAGGACTTGATGGAAGAGCTGCATAGCGCGACACTTCATGAGGCGAAACCGATGACTGTTGCTAAGAGCCCTGTCACTCCAGTTTTTCCCAGCCCAACGAAGGGCGAACGATCTCCGACCATCGTCCGCACCGTCTCGAATCCTGTCCACGGCAAGCTTCTTGCCCCTGGCGACGTGACCACAAGCTCAGCGCGATCTGTGAGCTCAGGAGCTGCTTACTTGCACAAGGTCGCCCAGCAGCCTAATGGACCCAGCCTGACTAGGAAATCTACTGTGGGATCAAGCATCTCGCAACGAATCAAGGCTCTTGAAAAACTCTCAGCACACACTGGTGAGAGCACTCTCAGTCCCACGCCTACTGCCTCAAGCCGAGAGAGACCATCTTCGGCATTCTTCTCTGTGCGAAGGAGTCGTGAACCCACTCGATCTCCATCCATTGCGGATCGAGCTAGCTCTTTTAACCGCCAAAACCTGCGAACACCACCTTCACGATCTGGTTCTCGAGACGAGTCACCTGATAGAGCTAGAAAATCTCACAGGGAGCGCTCGAACTCGGTGGCCAGTCGTTTGTCCAAGTTTGAAGCACATGCGCAAGAGAATGGCGGCTCGCCTGAGTCGATCTCGGTCACTGCTAGAATAGTGCGAGATCCGAGCCAGAACGCAGCCAAATCACTTGAACCACCAAAGGTACCATCGGAGTTCAACCCACTAGAACTTAAGGAGTCTCCCCTCTTGGTGGACCACCAGAAGGCCTCACCAGTATGGACCCCTGCAGCGCTTGAACTTTCTAAGGAGACCATTCTTGAGCGTCGTATGTCTAAGGAAGGCCGTCGATCGGAGTCGAAGAATCGGGATAAAGACCACTCTCGACGGTCTTCTCTAAGTGTCGTGAAGGACTTCATTAACGATCGCCGCAAGTCTCTTACCTCGCCATCGTCTGATGCAGGTGGTGCCAAGGGCTCACAGTCTCCCACCCGCCCTCCATCAACTCACCAGGGCAAGCGGCTTTCAATCAGCAGCCGACGGTCATCCATCAGCCGCGACAGGGACAACGTGCTTTCCCCCACTGCTACTACTGAGAGCTCAGCCTCTGGTGATGAAAAGTCAAGCAGTGAGAAGAAGAAGTCAAGGGCTGGTCGATTCATGCGTCGTCTATCATCCCTTTCCAGTTCACGTGGTAAGACCACGCCCCCTACTATCCTTTCGCCAACTGTGCACGAGGAGATGGCGGAGCCTGTTCGACCTGCGACTACTGCCGGGCCCCCCTCCATCGTGTCCTACATGGGTGATGTGAATGTGCAGTTTCCTGACAACCTTCTCTGGAAGCGCCGTAACATGTGTCTGGACTCTCAGGGTTTCCTAATTTTGAGCGCTCTCCCGGCTCAGAGCAGCCGCACCGCTCAAGGCACGAAGCGCTACCACATGAGTGACTTCCGATCTCCCTACATCCCTGATGTCGAGGTCCAGGAGTTGCCCAACAGCGTTGTCCTAGACCTGGTTGACGGCAGTAGCGTGCAACTGGCGTGCATGGACCGTTCTGGACAAATGGGTATTCTTGACAGTAAGTGTCGCCGATTTGCGAGGGTTATAACATATGCTAACGACTGAAACAGTCCTTCAAGAGGCCCACGCCAGACACGCTACCTCATTCAGTCTGTGATTTGATGTCCAGATCCCTGCCGCAGCGTCTGAGACGAGACTACGGTACCATCAAACGCGAGCCACATATTGGCCCCCATTCGTCCATTTTCTCTGTTACATATAGATGGTTATCATCTTGCCGCCCACCACAAACTGTCTTCCACGTCTCGCGATACGTTAACGGCCTTACGACACCCCACCCATCTACCTACCTACATCTTGGCTTCAGAGTGTATACTACCGGCTCGAGTGTCTGATTAACCGCCAGATGTTTCTTTCTACACTTTATGTTGAGGACTCTCACCTTCCTCGGCGTTCCCACCAGACTTTGTATATTCCCTTTTGAACACGCTCAACTCTAGAGCTTTTCACATAATTTTCTATTTGTGTTCTCTTCACATGTTCAACTATGTAACTACGCATGATACCACACACTTTCCCCTTTCATCGAGTAGCCCCAACGGCTTTCTTTCTCTTTTTTTTTTGTACCCATTTCTATTCCACACATACGAGCCTTGTTTGTCTTCTTCTTCTTCTTGGCACCTGTTGTTCGCTATTTACACCCGCACAGTCTGTCGGTTCTCCTCGTCACACGAGGATATTCATCAATGCAAAAGGGAGGGGAAGTGGGAGGTTTGGATAGGCGGTCGAGGCTATTCTGATTTTATCAGGGACGGGGAGGAGGTGGTTAGTTCAAAATGGATCAGACCAGTGTAGAAAGAAACATGAGCTATTTCAAGTCCCATCATTGCCCGGCCATGCAAAGCAGCGGCTTGCTTCATTCAAGACGTATCTCAATCACAGGCTAAATCATCACAATGAGAGTTGTCTGGTCTTTCGAAAGAAGTCTATTGGATCTTTTCAACTTTTTGTGCTACTTTTCTGTTTCGTAAGACTGTCAAAAATGCAATAACCCCGATCATTGCAATCCTCAACTTCAATCACAAGCCCATCGCATGTATCTTTTGGTCTGTCGCCCAACATGCAAAATTCCTCGTTAAATTTTCGTCATTTGTTTCCTGATTTCCGCCGCTCTGCATGGAAATTTCGTACTCTTACTATTGTCAAGTATGCTGCCACAAAGCCACAATAACCCTTGCCTTTGGCTGATATACTGTGGATTTCCTAATCTCTGCTACGTCGTTGAAGACTTCAATCTTCCATAGATATACTCCCGACATCAAAAAAGTGTACTAGAAGTTGGTTCAGTGAGAGAAGGGCCTCTGGCCAGTCAACTTGCAACCATTAATACGAGAAGGTATAAGCATAGAGAACCTCTCAGCACACGAGGGTGAGGTAAGGCTTGGCCCAACTAGGCGTGGCTTGTTGGTGGACCAGAAGACGGATCCAGTCCGGGGAATTGAGAGGGATCCATGGCCATGTACTCAAGAAGATCGAGACCACCAACGTTGACACCTTCAGGTCCCATGGCAACGGAGGGATTCTCCACGTTTTGGAAGAAAGCTGGGCCAGGAGGCAGATACCACATCTCGTTGCCTTGGTGGTTCCAGTCTTCAAAGAGGCTGACATCCATATTGGCAACCGCATTGTCCACCACTGTAGGTGTGGATGGACCCATCGAGCCCTGCCCAGGATAGGGGAAGTTCTGGGCCGATAGATCAAATGGAGTCGCTGAAATATTGTTGGCCTCGTGAGTAGGAGCCTGAGCTGGCGCTGAATTGGGGTCGTCAGTATTGATATCAACACCCCTTTGTATAGGATGCTTACCGTTTCCGCTGAGCCCATCTCGGAGTCTCTGAGCATGACCACCGACCCAGTTGGCATTACCGTCGCCATTCGCAGCAACACTATCACCATTTTGGGTCTGGCCATCTGGAACGGGACTTTGACCCCTGCCAGAAGCCTGCTGCATGGTGGGAGCCTGGATGAATCGGTTGCGGAGGCGGCTCGTCAGAGACTCAAGAAGGTCTGCAAAACGGATTCCCAGATGGACGTCGTCCACGACACAGTTTCTCAGCGCCTCAACAGTTGCGTCCATCAATTCGATGCTCATTCTGACGTCTGATCTTGGGGCACCGAGAGCAAAGGTCTTGAGCAGGAACATGGCACCACTGATGATGCAGAAATATGTTCGTACGGGAGCATGCTTGAGATAGTCGCCAGGCAGAAGACCCTCGACAACTGTGCGAAGAAGGTTTCGACTTCCCTCAACCACTTCACGGATATACTCCTGGTCATGGGCAGTGAACCCACCAAGCTGACCCAGCGGAAGCTTCCCATAATTGATCATAGTCTGAGGCGACAACTGTGGGTGACCATTCACAGCTGAAGCTCCATGGTGCCCCGAGTTGGCTGTCGCCCCAGCCTGGTTGGTGCAGCGTTCGACAACGGCTTGAAGTGAAAGAGAGTTGATGTAGATGCGCACATATTGATACTCGATCGTCAGAATGTGTCTGATAAACTCGGGCAGACGGAACAGCTCGAATTCTCTCCACCAATCGCGGAGAAGAGGCTCAAACTCCTTGAGGATGCTTATGTACTTTCCATTCTGGATGATTTGTGTGGTATACTTCCGTGAACGGAAAATCTTTTCGTTACCCATCTCCATAGCATTGCTGATGCCGGCCCAGCAATGAATGATTTGGTCATCCAGTTCTAGATCAGGGACATAGTTGAAGTGGTTAGACAACGAAGAAGGGTTCGTCCCAGGAGTTGTTCCATCCACTGACGTAGGTCGGAATCGAGCCAGAGCAGGATCGCTTCTCCTGAGATGAGCTGGAGCCATGTTGGTCCAGCCGAGCCTACCTGCCAGTTGCGTGGTATAGATAAGCAAGAGACGTTTAATTCGGAAAGCTCTCTGCCGGTACGATTCTTCTTGATACTCGGGGCGAGTAATAGCGTCGTCTCTCAGTAGCTCATCGATATCATCAAAGACACCCAGCTCATATGCCAGTCCATTTGCAGTGCTGAGCAACATCCAGCACATTCGGTCACTTCTCCACGCGGGCTCGAGCCAGCTCTCAATCCTCTTGCCGCCGAAACCAGTGCCCAAAGTCTTGCTTGGGTCCTCGTCGGCAGCTGTGATAGCTTGGAAGCTGGCTTCCATAGGAAGAACTAGTTCATCGGTGGCCTCGGTGGGCGGGAAGTGCAGGGCGCGAGGGTGCCACTCGGTCAGAATCATTAACGACTCAATCGTTCCCAGGGTTCGCAAACTGCCCTTGCGGAGTCCGCGCCAAGGTGCCGTACTGCTCGTTTGAGACTCGTCAAAAATAGCACTGGTGCTTGGTGGCACGCAAAAGCCACCACCAAAGGCTTCCTGTCCCCACAAACATCGCTCGATCATTCCCCGTAAATACATCCATAGTTGCTCATGGATTGCGTGCGATCGGCAATGACCACCAGTACCGGGCATTTGACGGTATCGCGAGGCAATCGTCAGCAGCGTAACGGTCAAAATAGGCTCTTCGTAAAGTAAAGTGACATGAGATGCAGGGTTGCTGAACGTGGGCGGCGATATAGGTGTCAGGGGAGACAAGTATTTGTAGTAACTATTAGAAGAATTAGCATATTAATTCTGACAGACGTTGAAAGTAGTCTTACTAGTCAATGTATTCGATCGCTTCCAGGGCTGTGAACCAACCAGCACGAACAAAACGGAAGCGTTGCCATGCCTTGATAGCTTCAGCATACCCGGGCTGCGAGCTAAGCTCGGGCCGTGAAAGCTCAGGATCGATGGGCTGTTCCGTTTTTGGTGGTTTGGAAGTCGATCTGGGGACATAACCATAAGGGCCAGTATCCTCAGGTGGGGGTCGAGGGGGCGCAGGATGAGCAGATGAAGTGCTTTCTCTGCGTTCACGGTCAACAGCGGGACTGTCGGAAGTTAGCATTCAGCCTGGAATTGATTGAGGCTCGAGCAGTTGCAGATCATACCTATCCGTTGCAGCTTTATACAACAGGTCCAGTGCATCCTGGGGACCAAATACGCCTCGCCGCATCACCGTCTGAGCTTCGATGTTCTCAAGAGTCTGGTTGGCATCACCTTCCGCCCCCCACTCATCCCTCCCGCGACCAGCCCGGTTACCATCAGGACGACGGAGCGGCTGGGACTGTCCTCGGGAACCTCCCGGGGTCAAGGGAACATTGCTGTAGGATCTGCGTTCGATGAATGGCGGAGGGCTCGCATTTCTATTAGTTCGCTTGCGACCATTTCTCGTGATGTAATCGTCCTGATCACTTCCATCGTCATCAGTCTTGCGCTTGCGACGAGTAGCACTGAAATAGCAATCTTTGCTCTCGCGACGACAGCGCACACACGGAGGATCGTGGGGGTTGTCGACGCTGCCAAGATCGCATCGCACTTTGCGCCGCCGACAAGGGATACAAGCTTGATATACGCGCTTGTGTTGAGGTGCTTGGTTTGCGTTTCCGCCAGGCGTCTGCTGTGCTGAACCTTGTGCGTTACTGATCGATGCGGCGGGACTCGAATCTGAGGCCCCGGAAGCCGGTTGATACGGGGCCATCATCAATGGCTGACAGGAATTTGGAGGAGGTCTCGTTGATGTCCCTTGGCGATTGGAATGCCGAGCTGAAAAGGTGGTGGTGCTGGGGCTCGATAAGACGCCCAGCGCAGGCGTCGACGACGACGTCGCCGTGCTTGAGGCAGGCAGGTCAGCTCAAAAGCGGGCGAGGCTCGGATTGACAGGCGATAAATAAAAAGACAAGGCTGATGGAATATGATGTCGCGGTTCGGTTTGCGGCGGTTCGGCGAGGGAAGACAAGAAAGCGTGGGCCGAAGAGAAGCGGACTGGGGGGGGTTGACGACCTTTTTGGAGTTCTTCTAGGCCGCTGGGTTCGGTGAGTAGCTTGTATATGTTAGTCTAAGAACATGACCCAGGACGCCGGACACAAGGGTTTTGATTCGAGTGCCCTGTGCGTAGGTTACCTTACCTTAGGTACCTAGTAGTATTGTCCAACCAGGTACGTACCCTTATAGATAAAGACTCGACAGTGGACCTCAATGCGGGGGATGATCACTCGAAGCCAGAGACAAAGCAATCTCGGCCGGGAGAGCGAGAGCGAGAGGCCAGTGCAGAGCCAGTTCAATGGAGTCTGCAGCCTCAATTGGTCAGGGCAAAATGTGCTCAGCTAACAGAGACCTGGGGTAAAAGCTTTTCTCATTCCCTGTTTGAGGGGAAAGGAGACGTACGTTGAGAGTGTACCTGAATAGTAGGTACCTATGCGTCTGTTCTGGGGGTGAAACAAAGATGTCGGTAAAGCTGGAACATATGTGATAGGCTCAGAGGCTACCAGGGAAGGTCACGAGCGTTGTCGTTATTTTCTCTGTCATCTCTGTCCAACGACTAGTCAGCATTAAGATATTGATTGATGTTAGAAATCAACATGGACATTGGAGGGTCAAAAGACTTGGGACTCTAGGTCGGGATGTAAAAATAAACTGACCAGAGAGCCTGCCTTAGTACCTTACCTACTGAACACTGAACTTACGAAGACAAGTAGCTCTCATAGTAAATCTGCCAAAGTAATTTTATTACTTGGGGTTAAAGTCTTACGTTTTCTGCCATCCTCAGGAGGCGTAGTACACACCAATTGTCAGGTGATGGATTGTCAATGTAATACCTTACGTATTGGGAATCAAGAGTAACTTTCTTCGACTTAGGAGATGACACAGTACACAGCATAGCCATTCCAATCGAGATCAGTCCAGTTTCGTTTATGTTAGTTAGTCCATGTGCCAAGGAGGTTTGCAGGAATGGCGTTCAGTCTTCTGCCTCCCATCTTCACCGTATTACAACGATCACCTGCCTATTCCACTACAAGTTCCCAGCCCGTTGAACATAGCAGCATCGCCTACAACATCGTCAGAATTTTCAATGACACGGTAGGAAAAAAGTCTAGAAAAATAGAACAAAAGACCCCGGCCGGTCAAAAGTTCACGTTATCCCGAGACAGGCAAGTCGATAACCAAGACCAAGCCTTATTGGCCCACCCGGGATTTGATATCGTTTTCCTGCAAAACCGCTGCAGGCGATCGAGAAACCAGGGCCCAGGATCCAATCTCGTGCAGCCCTCGCAGGAGCAAAAGAGCAACTCCCTGGGCCTAGCAGCTAACTTCCATCATGATCTTCCTCTAGGTAAACTTTGTATGTCTAGGGGCTTGTTTGGCATTGACAGCTGACCATGATCTCTTTCCAGCCCTCTTTCTTTCTTTCTTTCTTTCTTTCTTTCTTTCTTTCTTTCTTTGTTCTCTTCATTTCGAAGCATCTCAATATCTTTATGGTTCCCAAAGATCCCAATTCTCTAGAAGCTAAGGTATTAAATACATAATCTCGAACTTCAATATGCATCAGCACTTATCTAAAGCCCCCCTTCCACACCTCCTATATCTCCCACACAACCAATCATGAACCTGAGGCGCACGTCACGTTGACGACGCCTCCATCTTGACATTTTTACATAGCATAACGCGTCGGTCTATCAAAACCATCTCTCACTCGTCTCGTAAGAATTATCTAGAACAAGAAGGACATAATCGATCCCTGCAACGACAACACCAACAATGGACGTGCAGCCTCGGGTTGCGTTATCCCTGCCTCTTATTGTGGATTGTTTTACGTCTTGGCTTTTTTCACGATGGTCGAAATCCTCCTAACAACAAACCCCGCAGAGACGAATACTACCCCTGCTTTCTTTCCATTCGTCAATGGCAGCTATCAACAACCGCCATGTCTCACCCACACGCTTCTCACTCACATATGTACAGTATGTATGTGCAATGACTTGGTCTGTAGCAGCACAATCTTGCATACAAATACCCGTCTCTGTTACATTTCCGGGCCGGAGCCGGAGTCGGAGCCGGGAAACTACATGACCCCCTAACTCCGCACGGGGGAGCTCAAGAATGTGGCTTACAAAACGCCCAACCTGCAGTAGCTGTTCTGCTATCTCAGCAAACGGCGCCCTATTGCTTGCCATCGTGCAAACCACCAAAAGGACCCCTGCTGCGATGCGTACGTAACAAGAACGCACTCAAGCGGAGAATTACTCCTCGCTTGCTTATCTCTGTCCTCCACTGTGTCCATCTTTCCGTCACTGCCGGGAAACCTGTGCAAACAGATCCCCGCTCACTCTTGAGTCAATGTGTCACTGCTACTCAAGTCCCATGAGTGCCGATGCGGCTCACCCAGTCATCAACTCGAGTTGCGTCTCAGCCGGACCGGTAGTTGGGACTTTTGAGGGGTGTTGATTTGTAGATGATCTGAAGGGGAGTGATGATGGTGTGTTCCAATAGAAGTGGCATGTCGATGCGCAGCTGGTTGTTTAATATCAACACCAAGGACCTAAGGATCCAGAGCCATAGACTGACTACCTTGAATACTCGCAGCCAGGACCTTGGCTCTTCGTTGTCTGAACCCAGCGTTTAAAGAACGGCAGATGCTATCGCACCATATTCCTGAAGCAATCGTCGATTTACAACGAGATACGCCTGGAAGGCATCAGAGGTCGTTACCTCATGCTCCAACCTACTTGTTGTTCTTTGGCATCCGCCAGTTCGTGATCAGGTTTCAACATCCATGCAGCGATTTGCATCGAGACGCACATCCTCGGGTGTCCAGTCCGGGCAACATCCGTAACGACACGGCCCCCCGTTACATCCTCCGCCCACGAGAAAACGGCAAGATTCAATGACCGCCCCGATTGAAATGATCGATCCGGTCCGCTGAGCTGACCGGTTGAAGCCGAGCCAAGCCTCGATTTTATTGGCCGGTTCTCCCTCAATGTTCATCACCCGGGCCCGAAATCCGACGTCCATCCATCAACGAGGTTGTTACAGTATCCTGTCACATCATTATATCTGGGAGGTGATCAAGACAACAGGGTAGCATATGATACATAACTTTCAATGAGGTGATACCGTAGGCGATTACTCCGTTGGAACACATGGTTAAAGAAAAAAAAGGTCAGATACATCTTTTTGGTTCCCTTTCCCTTTCTGGTCCATCCCCTCCGTGCTCATTAACTCGTCATTTTCCTAAATCCAGATGCTTCAGCAACTCTCAAGCACAAACTATAGACCGATTTGTCGACGGAATAGCATTAGAAGTATTAACTATCGGATACGGCTGCATGGTGACATCTAGCCGACAAGGCCCTTCTTGGACTATTGCCAAATCGACATGTCAGTAATCACGAAACGCTCAGCAACGACCGCCAGGATAACTTACAAGGTGTTCCCAAAGCTTTGACGTCAAGCCATCCGGCATAGTGTAGAGATCAATCGAGAACTCTCCGGCTTTAACCAAGTCATCCACTATTAGCCCACCATACACATCAATTTCATGGAAAAGACAAGGGTGGATATGATATCAAAACGTAAAGGAAAGGGCAAGGGTGCGAATGGTGATACAAACTTGATAGGAGAACTCACCTTCGACATCACTTCTTATGTACGTGTCTGGTCCCTTGTTTTCGTTGATAATCTGAATCACGCGCAGCAGATCCTCCTCCTCGAGCTTCTCCAGGGACTCTGCAATCTTCTCATAGTCGTACTTCTGGGAGCTCTTCTTGGTCGCGAGTCCCTTCTTCTTGGGCCTGTGGTCTTCATCGGTGGGAAGGGGACCCGTTTCACGCAACCGCTCCTGTAAGTTCTGTGAAGGGTTTTTGAAGACCACAGTGTGCGTCTGCTCATATCGTTCCTGCTGGAAGTTGAGATCATGAATGATGGGCGCTAGCTTGGTCTTCTCCGTGGTGTAACAGTCGATACTAATCTCGAACTCGCCCCAGCCCTCGTTCTTACACGTGAAAGGTGCTTTCTGGAAGCCTGGTAGTGGCGCAAAGTTGTTAATCATCATGCTTTGCTTCGCAATATCAGGGATTCGTCTCAAACATACTCTGAACGGGATTATCAAAGGTAGGGTGTAGATTATAGACGACTTTGGTGAAGACGTCTGCGGGGCGCTCGTTGCCATCTTCATCTAGCAAGAAGACCTTCAAGCTCCATTCTCGCATGGGGAACGCCTCTACGGGTGACGGCTTGTCGCTAGTAAAACACGATCGTCAGTACCTGAAAGCAGGTTGCTCGAATCGCTTCTGAAGCAGATCTTGATCGAGCAGGTACGCGATTCAAGGAAAGCAGACGGGACGTCGGAAAAGATTGACGCAAACCTACATGATTTGTTGCTCAGTGACAACTTTGATTTTTCGCTCCAACAAGTTAGCCTTGGTTCTAAGTGTCACTCTGACGGGTGCTGCTCGTGAGCGGCGCGGAGCCATGATGATGAGTTGTTGAAGGTGTAGTGCTCAAGTGTTTGGAGATGTGGAAGCTAGGTAGGCAATAAAAGTCACACGGTAACACAAAACCTCAAATAGCTGAAGTGAATTAGAGAGGCGCTGGCGCACAGTGTAGGCCTGAAATGAGAATAGAGAAGAAACACAAAGGCGTGGTAAGGTACGTGACAGAAACCGGTGGATAATGAGAATGAGGCTGCAACAACGCGCATCAAGCGGGCTCCCAGAAGTGCAACAGCACAGAAGCAAACATCAAGGCGAGACCACTGAGTGCCCCAACGGACACTACAGCTGCCAAATAGAAAGCATCATGGGCGTCCATGGCCGGTGAGGTGATCTGTCTTTGGCTGTCCGACCTCAACGCGCGACGCTTGTCACCGTTTGTCACTGACACGGATACTGGCTAGCACTGGCAGATGCAGATGCAGATGCAGACAGATACGAACAGACCGCGACCAATCTTTGCAGAGCCTCACGGCGCGACACACTTGACCGTGAAGCGAAACAAAGCCAGGCATGACACAACCGTGGACTTTTCAAGCACCCAAAGACAGACAAGGAAAGAGGCTGCGACTACAGCAAGAGGCGAAAACGGCGAAGCAATAACATGAACGAATACAGCAGCCCAAGGGGGCCAAAACGATCCGAATACACGTCGAGGAGCTGGGCAATGCGACTCGGGGAGAGGATAGGATTGGATTGGATTGGATTGGATCGGATCGGATTTTCAAACTCACCTCGACCAACATCTTTTCTCCGGGTCAATAAACAGCAATTGGAAGTAGCCAAACGTGGAGGGCAAATTTGGAAGATAAGGTAAAGACGGGAACAGCCAAGAAGATGGACGTGGATACACAGGGACACACAAGTGATGAGGAAAGGATGTGATGCGTCGGGTCGGGTTACAAAGACGACCAGAGGCAAGGTACAGCAGTTGAAAATGAATTGAATGGATGGGACTGGAAACGAAACGGCGGCGGAAAACGGAGACACGCCAGCCTGTACCGGCCAAAGACAGCCCAGGAGACAGTTGGTTGCTGGTTGCTGGTTGGACGGGGCAGCAGGGCGAGAAATGGCAGCCCGTACGGATATGGGCCCCGGGGCAGGCGCAGTCAAGTCTAGCTGGTACCTCAATCTAACAAAGAGCTGAGGCAGGTGGTGAAACTGACGATTAACGAGGCAGACGACACGATATTGCTGAAATGGACTCTGTACCAAGGGCATACAATTTAAGGAAAGAAAGAGGGAAAGAAGTTCGCAAGGAGAGGCCCTAGAAGAAACAAGCAGATCTATCATTATACCTACCTAGACAGACTCGACGCGAGCGATCAAGACGTGAATTGTTTTTGTCTCCTGTCAGGCTGTCTTGCGCTTATAGGGGAAGGGTTCCAGGTTCCAGGGCATAGGACACACTGAATCACTTGCTCCACAAGTTACCGCTCTTGACTACCTAGCCTCTGGGAGCAAGAAAACACCCGACCTTGATCCTAAATGACAAAAAGACTTTGGTAAATTTGCATAAATTTGTGATATCTTTTGCTGAGTTTGTTTTGACACCTCATATTAAGATCCGGTATTTTCTTTCTCCCTGAGGGTTAGGTACCTGCATTTCACTGGCCTGACCTTGGCTCCATGCTTTTTGCTTGGCTCGTCATGTCCGGTCCTGTTCCGTCCTTTGGGTTTCCCAATGACGTGAATATCCCAACGGGAACAGATACGATAGAAGAGGACTTCGAATTCAGGGCTCTATTCTGAACTGCCAACTATGCTTGTAGACTGTGTACTCTACCAGTAGGGGTATATCGACAGTGGCATGTAAGTTCTTCCATGACATCCAACGAACAAAGGACAAAGGACAACACGGTTGGCCTCCAGACTCAAGGTACGCACATCATCACGGGGAGCTCTACCATGATCCAACATACACTCAAACTGCACTGTTCTTCATCATAATCAACTCGAGTCCTCATCGCCCACGAGACTAGAGCAAACATGATGGTAAGACACACCAGCCACAGCTCCATTGTCGACATCAGCCACATCGACCGCCCACAACTCATCAAATTCGAGTCACAAACAATTACTTTATATAGTAATAAACAAGATGTCTATGGAATTTTTTTTCTTTTACTTCTTTCAACAGGGTGCTATGTGATATGATGTTCCTATGATGCTAACTATCCATCCGTCCATCCATCCACCAATCCGCCCCGGGGCTGAACCGAGGCCATTCACCTCAAAAATAATAATAAGTCCTTTCCGTCTTAGGAACCTCTATCTATCCATATCAAAAACAGACTCGGGATTTGGTGTTGTGGCGTGGGTGAAGTGCGCGCGTATATATGACTGGCCAAGCGTCCTCAGCAGTATAAGGAGCTTGCTTGCTGTTGTGGCATGCTGTATGGGAGTGTTGGAGTGGACTTGCTTCTGTAAACCGTAGAGCTACGAACGAGTGGGAGCCTGGCGACATACAGATCCATCTCCGAAGGGGCAGGGGAAGGGGAGGGGTCGTATGAGATAGGCTGCTTAGGAAGCGGGAGCCTCGGCCTCCTGAGCCTTGTTGAAGATCTCCTCGTTCTCCTTCTGAGCCTTCATGAAGGAGTCCTTGAAGTTGTTGGCGTCTACAAATAAATTAGCGATTGTCTTTACTCGGAGTTCGTTGACCGGTGGAACATACTCTCAGCGTTGGCAAATCGGATGGCCAGAGTAACGGCCTCGGGTTCTCCCTCGCTGACATCGGCAGCAGCGTTCCACACCCAGCTTCGGTCGGAGCCAACGTTGGGGGAGAGCTTCATCTCGGGGACGATGTAGTGGTTGGCGCAGACCTTGAGGGTCTTGTCGCGACGCATGACCAGTCGGGTCTTGCCGTTCTCCTTGTGCTTGAGCAGACGAACGTCGCCAGTGCCACGCTCCTTCCACTCGCTGCTCTCCTTGACGAACTTGAAAAGCTTAGCGCGCATTTTGAAGGTCTGCTCCTCGGCCTCCTCGTTGGTCTTGGTGTCAACCTTCTCGGTCAGCTTGATGACGGGCTCGAAGTGGACATCCTCGGACTCGGGAGCCTCCTCCTATTTAAGTATTCCTGTTAGCCTCATACATTTCGCGGGGATACGGTTCCAGCATGCCACTTCTGAGACATGTGAACGTACCTCGTCGCCCTTAGCAGCCTCAGCAGCCTCTCGCTGGGCCTTGGCACTGCCAGAGTTATCGCCGCGCTCCTCCTCCTCCTTCTTCTCCTTCTTAGCACCACCGCCGAACATGGAGAAGACGGAGGAAGATGTGACGGGCTTCTCAGCCTCAGCGGGCTTGGTCTCCTCGGGCTTGGTCTCCTCGACCTTGGGCTCGGTGGGTTCGGAAGCAGACATCTTGATAGTTTGCGTGTTCGGTTGAGAATGTAAACTCAAAGTTCTGTTGCCCCTCAGACGTCAGCAACTTTTTTTGCGTATCCAGGATCCCAGTCCCGCAGGCATGCTTTTACCCCTCCTCAGGTAAGGAGGGGCTCAGGACCTTTATTGCCCCAAGCGTCTCATGGGGAGGGAGAAAGTAACAGAAGCCGGACAGAGGAAAGCGTGCGATCAGACTTACCAGATAAGCGAAATGTAATTAGGAAGATGCTTCCGGGAACGCAAGGGACGGTGTTGAAAGTTTATGCTGTGGTGTTGATGGATGTATGGAAAGTAGATGGTGGAAGTGGGTTGCGGTCAAGGTCTGGTGATTTGTTTTCACTTGGGCTTAGTTACCTTAGGTTGTCTGTCCGTCAGGCTGCCGTCCCGCCGCCCTAAGGTACTGTGGAAAAAAACTGAACTGCCCCTCCTTTTCCCCTGGGCTGTTGTGCCCTCCACTACTACTCCGTGCTGATACTGCAAGAACTTCCATCTGCGGCCCTTGTGATTGGGGACCGCTTTGAGCTCTGACGAAGTACCTCCAAGGTCATTATTAGCTGCAGAGATACCTGCTAGGTCTTCAAGCAAGCAACGGATCGGGCAGGGATTGCAAGATTGCCTGTGGAGTAACTCTTTGGGTGGGGCTTAAAGTGCAGGATTTTGGATGCTCGTTATGAACCACGGCAATACTCAAACAAGATGTCGTGAATATTAGAGGTTCAGAATATGAGGGCATGTTAAGTATAAAGTATTATATGCGTGTTGCCTTCGAACAGAGTCCCCGCCTCTGTTCGAATCTGTATCAGAAAGCTACACTGTTGCAACAGATATCTAGTTCTGAAGCCATTCAACAATTCCACGATATTTTTGTTTGTTTAGCTCCGTTGCCAGGAGACTGACTCCAGTGCTCATTTCCACTGATAGGTGATACGATTCATGAGTTGGGATGAAGTAAATTAATTTATTTACTTGACTATAGTTGGCTTCCTTTTTGTTCTGATCTTACAAGCAAATCACCAGGCCAACAACGAATCACTTTCCGCCCAAATATAAGACACTCAAAGCTGTTGAAAGGGGTCCGTCGATACCGTTGACTATCATAAAAATAAAAGCGAGGCAAGAGCAACCATAATAGAAAAAAGACGTCTACAGATGGTATGAGACCCATGAACTCCAAATCCACCACCGGCCCAGATAAACCCATACCTCAGCATTGCCAAAAATAAGTCCATCCTTGACATATAAGTCCTCGTCCATGATAATGATGAGGGGGAATAACATGGCAAGAAAGAAAGGAAAAACCTTGCGCCATAACACACAAACCAGGGTCCTTTTTCTTCCACTATACCCTCTGTCCCTCTCCTGTGTCTCGACGGTTCTTTACGGACCAAGCACGGAAGAATTGCTCAAAACCAGACGTCTTACTGATCTTGTTGGTTGTCTTTCGAAGCTTCCTGTCGTTTGCAAGTTTCTTGGCCATGAACTTCTTGGCCGCACATTGGTAGCGAGTATACTCTTTCTCTCCTGCGGTGTACTTGATCCACCAGAGCCTAGCTTGGATCTGAGCATTCAGCAACTCCAACTTTGCCTGTTGTTGCATCGCTTGCGTGTCAGGCATGTGCAGCTTGACGTCGCCCACAACAGCCTCCAGTTGCCTCGAGATGCCCTCTGTCGCAATCTTGGCACGGTCTCTGATATCGGTCTTGATCCAGCTCAAAGATCGGTGGGCCTTGTGGAATCTGTGTTCCAAGCTCTTGAAGACGCTGTCAGATGTATTCATGAAGTTGTCAGAGGCTGTTCCCAAAGAGCGTTTGGCTTCCCCAAGACACCGCTCTGCCTCTTGAGCAGCAGCGGGGACAAGTTCTGGGAAGTATTGTGCAAAGGCCCAGGTCGAGTCCAAAGCCTCTGAGATGATACCCTTCTGGAATGTGATACGAAGGACCTTGTGAACCTTGGGTCGACAAGTAGTGAAAATGTCAATCTTGATTGTTCCATGGGCTTCCTCCTTGGGAATCTTGAGAAGAATGCCTTCGTCGACAGATGAGGTACCAAATCCAACGGATTGGTCGCCTCGTTTGGCGTCGAACTTGAGACAGTCACGATCAAGCCATAGTTTCTTAGCACTTCGAGGCATGTGGATTAAAAAGCCACCTCGCTGTCTGGTGACAGTCACCTCGGGCTTCTTGGCACCCCAGAGCCACTCATCGGGTCGGAGATTCTCAAGAGGGACAAGACCTGTAGGTCCCGCTGATGTTGAAAGAACCGCCAATGTTGGCAATGAAGTATAGCTTGAAGTCAACAGAGTGGGGTGAGTTGTGACAGCGGAGGTGGCTACGGGTATGTGGGGTACTACTTCTTTCGATAGTGGAGTGTAGCAGGTGCGGATCAACGACATCAAGACAATGGCGAGGACCGCAGGGAGGATAGATTTGGCAAATTTGATCATCGCCTCCCGGGGACGGATCGTATGGGGCTGAACTTCATTCAACCATTTGTTGAATCGCGCTCGCTGGCTCTCTGCCTGCTCTTGGACATCATCAGGAGACGGCTTCTGGCTGTCTTCAGTCATGCTAGCGTCGGGGCTAGGGATCGATGGGGTTTTAAGACTTTGTTGAGTATACTCAAGAGAGCTTCGAGATCGAGCTTCATCCTCCGACTCAGACTCAGGCTCAGCTTTGGTATCAGGCTCAAGCTCGGGCTCGGGCTCGGGCTCTTCTTCTGCCTCTATTTCAGCCTCTACCTCAGGAAGCGGGCCATTCTTGACGACTGAGGCCCAGCTTTGCTCTGCTTGTGGAATCTCGTCCATGTCCATAGATTCAGACACAGACATAACAAGTGGCTCTTGTACGGATTGTAAAGCGGGAGGTTCGTTCTCATCGGCAAGAGATTCGTCATCGTACGTCTGCTCAGTGCCGGCTAGGCTATGGACGTCTTCGGGGTAGTGCACGTCGAGGGAGCCGACAGACTCGCTGATAGACTCGGTGTAGTTTCCATCCTGAGACTCGGTATCGGTGCCCGAGATTAGTTCATAAGTGGACTCGGACAAGCCAGTGTCCTCAGTGGTGGTGGTGATACGCATGATGTCTGGATTACTGGACGATATCCAGTTGGCGAGATGCCGATTGCCTTGGGGGCGAGGAAACCGTAGAGTGGGTTCGGAAGTAGACAAGGAACTTCGGTTCGATGATATTGTGCTCGGAGCAGGCGTTGCCGGTGTTGTCGGACGGGAGAAGGGGCTCGAGGTTCGACGCTGGGCAGCTGGTGTAAGCGAAAACGTCGAGGATGATGGCGCGGGGGACTGGCGAGTCGATCGGTGTTCAGTATCACGGTGGACGGCAGAGGGAGTGGATGGAGTATCAGGATCCTGCTGTTCCATAACGAGGCGAAGATACAGTAAAATCAGGTTCTATCCCATCAGAAGCTTCATAGCAAGAAGCAACCTGCGAAGGATAATACGATGAGGCGTCAGGTGAAGTCGGATTGCGAGGGGCAAGTGAGAGTGAGGTGGGAGGATAAGGTGAGGGGTGAGCGGAAGGCCGGATAATGGGGAAGGGGGGTCTGCGTAGGACTGTGATGGCGGGGGGAAGCCTGGAGGAATATTGTGGAAGAATAGATGTGAATGGATTCTTGTTTGTGTTTGTGGA